CGCAGATACTCCGAGAGATGATTTCCCCAACGATGAAAGTCATTCCTGTCAAAGTCAAAGTAGCCTTCACTGTAGTCTCAGATCAAAGCCCCAGCAATACGTATGAATGACCGTGGGCCTTGACTGACTCCTATTCCTAAACAACAGCATCCCTGCAACTAACTCTGCCATTAAACTTTACACTGGCCCCAATGGTGACAGTGGTCTTCTATTTCATGCTCACCCAAAAAAGAGTCCTTATCGATTCACGTCTTGATCCATAATGGATTAAATTGCTATGTTGACTGAACCCCATTGTACACGCCGTTTTTAACTCCCATATCGACCTGAAGGTTTATATAATAAGATACATCAGCCTGGTTGGCCCCCCGATCGTGAGGATTTGGCAGCCCCCTTTGCAACCCTGATATTGGATCTGACTCCAAGATGGACCAAATTCGCAAACTTAATATTACCCATAAGCGTTCGCATCGGTAACCTTCGTACTGTACCGGATACTTCCTTCAACAGCAACACAAACAATGGCTTTAGGGACACCCCGGCCACTGGCCTCATCAGCAAATATTTAATCGAGATGTAGCTGGGGATCCCTAGCGCGAGCATTCAAGCCCCCGAAGTTCAAAGTCATGGTATCCCTAGTACGATTTACTGTTAATATGAAGACACTTGCTTACATTTACTTCAACAATAGCCGTCACGTTCATGCAAATATTAAATTACACAACACGATACCCACTAAGAGCCACGATCCTTGCTGTTTTGGCCTGGGGTTGCTCATATGATGGCCCTTAGGTTTTATGGATGATACCTGCATTTGTTTTTTAACCTCATCATATTGTAAATGGCATCCCCTGTCTCATTGTAGCACATGACCATCTCGGATTTGTTGTCGGGCTTGTTTGCGTGTATGTACATTTATATATGTGTGTGTGTACATGCACATGCTAACCCTATGGCTTAGATACCAACATAATGACGAGGATCGTTAATTGACTCCTGATTCCAAACAACATAACCGTAACCCTCTCCTGGTCAGTCGCCCTTATATCAATGGCAGTAGCAGCCCTAACGGCCATCCATAGCAGGCTTGGTGCCAGCCATAATCTGACACCGATGTTTCTCTTATCCAAGTTGCAGCCGTAGTCAGCTAGAAGGAACAGTAGTAGTAGCAGTGATAACCCTGATATCCTGGATCCTGGTCTGTGTTAAACCTGCAGTGCTGGCTCCTTAACTACCCCCAAGCTGATCCGAATAATGTCCAGGTCATTACCTATCGTATAGTAGTCATGCGGAGCGGAACCGAATCCCAATAGTAAAGGCACTCGACGAACCTTGTTGGGAACACTAATTCGTAATGCGTGCAAACAAATGAAGAGTGAAATACCAACTTTCCCTGGAAAAGGATGGTTTTGAGCAGAAAAACCAACATTTTCCTGGGGAAAAATAGGTTTTGGACCGAACAATAAACTCTTCCTGGGGACAACCCCAAAAAAATCTTTGGGAAACTCGGCCAAACTCCGAAAAGATTGTCCTGTATAGTTTCCAACAAATGTTTGTCTTTTTGGGTGGTTTCCCCTGCGAAAAAGCTGGTTTTTGATTGGAAGACTATACTGTGTTGCCGTTAGGACCGTTAGGAGCGTGCTCACGTCGAACCTAGACGAGTTGCTTGGCGGTTGGTTTTTGATTGGAAGAGTACAGTGTTGTCGTTGAGTGCGTGCTCAAGTCGAACCTGAACGAGTTGCCTGGCACGTTTCTTGAAATGTGCTGTTGGCTTTGGCAGCCTTTCAGAGATACGGAATCCGGACCTGCCGGAAAAGCTGGTTTAACGGCTTAGCACGGTATTTATGATACAAAACGACGGTCGGTAGTTCATGAGGGCGGGGTTACCATACATACATATATATATATATATACAAATATCACTAGTATTATTCTTATATTGGCATAATTTACAGGTACGTACATTTTGACTCGGGAGACTACAATGTTGTAGCATGTTCTGTTGACATTTAGCTTTGTAGAGCACTATTGAACTAAATACCGTACAGGCCCTTTAGAAAAACGGGGCTACCTTTTCCATAAGGTTCAGCAACCCTATAAACCCTAAACCCCATTAGGTTCATCGAGTTTGCATGTCACAAATTGGGGCGCAGACTTGGCACTTGGCTGCGAGACTTGTGGATGCTGTTGGGGGCCTAAGGGCTTACAGGCTCTTTTGCATTATACTGGTCCAAGATGGTAAAAACGCCTCAAGGACCCCGGGCTGCTAAACTCTGATTAGGGTTTAGGGTTTAGGGTTTAGGGTTTAGGGGTTGAGTTAGAAAGCATACACCTCAAGGTGTCTCATATCACGGGCCTTCAGGGAAAAGGGTCGCCTGTTCCATCGAGGTTTAGGGTCTCGGGCGTTTGGATGGTAGCGTTGCGGGTGTAGTTCCAGCAAAAATGCAGATGCTGAGAAACCCTAACGCCCGAACTCCCTAACCCCTGAACCCCTGAACCCTCAAAACCTCAGACCCTAACCCTTAATTCCCTAACCCCTGAACCCCTAAACCCTAAACCCTGAACCCTGAAACCCTAACCTCTTAACTCCCCATGAACCCCTGAAACCCTTCACCCTCACTCGCTCGACGGGACCCGAATCTTGTCAATGCCGAATTGCTGTCAGTCTTGGCCGTGCCCACATTTTGACCTTGGGCTCCATACTATAGACTGGCTACAGTGCTTAGGGTCTAGGAACGGGGTCTGGGGTGTGGGGTTTAGGGTCCCAGGGCATGCTATCCCCTTGAACAGAACAAGACACAAAAGCAACGTCTAACTGCAGCTGTCCAGCTGCAATCATCAAACCACTAATCGCAGCCGAATCACAGCCCACACGCCTGAAAATTACTATGCTAGGAATGCCGCATGCTTCTCAGTGTTGTCGAACTGTAAGCCTGCAGAGCATCACCCTCATGCACCAACCGTTACTTACTTGCATAACACGGGGTCTGCAGGTTGGCCGCGATTGTCCCGTAAAATCTGTGTACGCTTAGAGCATATCACAAACCCTACTTGACAGTTATGCCGACCACAGCCGAAGAACACAGGTGGGTACGGAAGGTACGAAGAAGAAGTGGGTTATGGCACACGTCTGCGAAAGCCGCGCAAAAGCACAAGCTCAGCGCGCTCCTTTTCATCCTGAGCCAAAGGAGTTTGGCATGTCAAGGTTCTGCCTACACTATCAAGCCTCATACTGCTTTCTACGGGAAAAACATAGTGTTTCAACAACTTTCACAACTCAAGTGTACAGTAGACATCCGAGTGCATGGCCGTCGACAATGACGGATCGGGAGCCGGGTGAAGCGCACACGGTCGTCCACCTAGGAGCTGAATGTGTCTTCGGGTTTAAGGCTTGAGGGTTTTGGGTTTGACCGTGGAGAAGGCTACAATCCAGCAGTGCTCTCGGTAGAAGACACCAAAAGTTTGCACCAAGGGATTGCGTCGTTAGCAGCGTGGCAGCGCCACGTCCTGGTTTGTACCAAGGCTTCATCTGCAGGAGGTGGGCTCGCTAGCAAGTCTTGTCATGGACAGCAGGCTATCAAGCTCTGCTGCATGTTTGTTGGGCACGCTGCTGCGCGCAGTTGCATGGATGTATTCGGACAAATGCGAACAGAGGGCGGTTGCTGAGTCGTGAGTAGACTTCTTCCACGATTCGTAATATGGAGCCTTAGACAGAGAGATGTTGCATCCTCCAGGTCCACATTGTCATGAAGTTGCGGACCCACGATTCTTCGGACCGAAAAGAAGCAATCGTCATCGGGACTCCCATGCTAGAGGGACAAGAGGGAAGGCGGTAGGGTGCCTTCATACGCCTTTCAAGGACTGATAAGGGTCTAAGGAGGCCTGTTTTAGGAAATGTCGTCCCTCCCTCCCCCTTATGAAGACAAATGTTGGCAATTTTTTAGGCTTCTACAGTAACCCTGAACTCCTAAACCCTAAACCTTGGGTTTTCAGACATGCTTGGGCCCCCCTGCTTGGTGCTCTTGATGCGCTTCTTCAGCGGGGTCTGCCAGCCTTTGCTGTAGGGACAAGGTTGAAAGTAGGTTGGGGGGGTGGAGGGTTTTGGGTTTGGGGTTTAGGGTTTCGCGGGAATCCCAAATGAACAAGAGTGCTTGGAGAAGCGGATTCTGAATCCTACCTATCTGAATCCCACCCAGAGGGGCAGCAAAGGATTGATCCCCCAACAGTAATGCCAAGTAGCAGCTGTTCTAAAACAGGAGTCCGTTTCAAAGGAAGTACTGCCAGACTTTAGAACAACTGGAAATGGACGGCTTGACTTTCGTTTTATAGTTCAGGTTTAGGGCCTTAGGGTTTAGGATGCTCCACCTCCCACTGGTAGGTGGGCTGGAAGCCTTCTATGGGTCCGCAGAAAGACTGCCATTCGTACGAAGACACCCGAAAACCGAAGTCCTAGACCCTAGACCCTAACCCCAAACGCTGAAACCCTAAACCCCTGAACCTAAACCATCAAGCCTGAGGCCCAAGCCCGAAGCCCCAAATCCTATAAAACCCTAAATCCCAAACTCCCCAAGCCCCAAACCAACAAAGAAGGAACGGTGCGGGATCCCTCCGTCTTCCCTTCCACGTGGCCTGCGTCGAAGTAGACCACACCGACACCTTCCGCCCCGTGGTGACCTTACTGGGCTTAGGGTTTAGGGAGCTGAGGGGGCTTTAGGGGGCAGGGGGCTGAGGGCCGAGGTGGCTTGAGGGGGTAGGGATGAAAAAAAGAGGTGAACAAAAGCCATTCTCTGAATCCTTTTCAATGTCTCGTTCTGGTTGGCCAACGGCTTCCCCAACTGGACCGTTCCTAAAACCAATTCATACAATGCTTTCGAAGTCTTCTGAAACGCCTGTCTTTCCTTCTGCGTGCAGCTTTGGAATGCTGAAACCCGGAAAGGAGCACCCTAAACCGTACACTGAGGTGGCGACCGAAGACGATGTTAGTGTGGCTGCCTGGAGCTTTCAGGGTTAAGAGCTTGAGGGCTTTGGGCTTTCTGGGCGGTTTGAGAATTGAGCGTTCTCTGAGATTTCAAGCCTAAATTTTAGCCTAAAATATTCCTTAACACAATGCACTCAACCCTAAACCCTAAACCCTAAACCCTAAACCCTAAACCCTAAACCCTAAACCAATGCACTCAACCCAAACCCGACTACTACATCCTAAGTCCCAGGACTCCCTGGAGTTCCTTTGGGGGGCCTTGAAGTTTTGGAGCCGGGGGCCTGTATGAGACCACAGCTCTCCCTGGAGGGTTTAGGGTTTAGGGTTTAGGGTTTAGGGTTTAGGGTTTAGGGATCTCCTGAAGCAAAAAGAAACCCCTGATGCACGCCCCTTAACCCAAAAGACACTCTAGATGCTTAGGGTTTAGAGGCTTCAGGTTTAGGGGTTTAGCCTACAAAATCATACCCCGATGTGAACCTCGCTCAGCCTATTATAGGAACCTGTGCAGCCCAACAAGACCAAGAAAAAGAGAAACAGCAGCAACCGATCTACACCCTCAACGACCTTAACCTCAAATAACCCGCCAAACCACTCCCAAACCCCTCACCCCAAATGCCCTGTTGCACCTTGAAGGATCCGCTTCGCATGCTTGGCGTTGGTGTACCGCGTGACCGCACAGACCTCACGAAAGGTCTTAGCCGCTCGGACGGAAACTCCGTACCTGGAGAGGTAGGTAGGCAGATAGGTAGAGAGACAGAGGTATTGCAGGCTTGATTCAGCAAAAAGCCGAAGAGCTCACAGGGCGAGGAACAGGCGCATGCACTTGTTGTACAAAGTAAAGATATCTACACTGGCTCCTGTATAAGGTGTGCTACAGTGGAACTCAGATTCAATGATGATACCTCTCATGGTCCCTCAGTAGCCATGCCGTAACCAAATTAACAAGTTGGTGGAAAGGTTTCGGAAGAATCTGTAGCATAGACGGTCGACGACGGTAGACGCTCGATTCATGACACCTTGCGCAAGGAGTAGAACCGGGCTCGCAGAATGTTGGTACCAACCTCTGGGTCCAGGAAAACGATGTCCTCATGACGTGCACCCTCGTTACTACGGGGCAAAGGCGATCATCGTCAAAGATGTCCGGAATCCTCGAAACTCCACAGAACACACCTAAAGGGCAAGCAAGATTCCGTGTAGTGGTCTCTCAGAACGCCCTTGAACTCGAAGTTGTGGCGAGTGGAACCTTCACGACAAGCCAGGACAGCTCTGCAGGCAGATGTCTTGAACTTTTAGGGTTTACGGTTTAGGGTTTAGGGTTTTAGGGTTTTAGGGCTTAGGGTTTTTACATTCTCTTGTCGGTGCTCAGATCAGGTGAGCCTCACACCAGGTAAGTAAGAGCTTACCATTATCAGCACGCTGCCCATCATGGCACCCCGAGGCAACTATGCACACTCGCAAGCATTGCCCCTATACACACTCAGAATCCCGACTTTCCCCAACCCTAAACCCTAAACCCTAAACCCTAAACCCTAAACCCTAAACTTATGTTCGAGCTTTGAGTCTCTGCCCTCGAGCACCTTGGACGAACTTGATGGCAGACTTTGCTCCGTAGCCTCTGGCCGTGTATGTCTTCACCTGCACGGTAAAGCACCGATGTTTCCGGTTCGGACTTGAAGACAGGCAGGGGCCCGCAAGCAATCTACACTCCGATGCCCAAAAACAAACAGAGCTCAGCACGCGGTACATTTGCAAGTGTACTGTTCAAAACTCAACCCTCACTCCCCAAGCCCTCTTCCGAAAAACGACCCTCATCATACTATGTTTATAATAAGGAACCCCCAAAACTTTAGTCTGATTATTAAGGCCCCTACACTAGCCTCAAACTCCCCAAACCCTAAACTCCCTTCGCCAAGAGACTCCCGCGCTGCCCTTACCCCAGTAGTTGCCGACACCTTGGGTGAGCTTCAAGGGCACCCCCCCGGGCTCCTCTAAGGGTTCCAGACAGGTTTCGTAGAAGAATTTCCTATTGGTACATAGAAGGGTTCTAGAAGGCTTCCAGATGCTTGGTTTGGGGTTTTGGGTTCGTTGCTGTGGGTTTCAGATCGAAGGTTTTTGGGCGGAGGGCCCTAAACCCTAAACCCTACACCCCTAAACCCTAAAGGTGGGGGGGGGGGGGCGGGGCGTCCCCCAGCCACCGAGAAACTCCGAAACCGCTCAAGGTTTAGGAATTGTAGTTTAGGGAGTTTAGGGTTTGGGTTTTAGGGTTTGGGGTTTAGGTCTTAGGGTTTGGGGTTTAGGTTTTAGGTCTTGGGGTTTAGGGTTTGGGGCCCTGGAATCGATTGGTTGTGCTGGCCTTCTGCATCCAAGCATGAAGCCCGAACAGTGCGAACAGCGGACTTTCTTTTCTATAGGGCCCCTTTGAACCCAAATCAAATCAAGATGTTGAAGAACACTTTGTTGGGCTTATAATTCAGTAGAATTAACATGTTGACTTCCACTGTAAACCATTGTGAACCACTGTAACAAACACCACATATGGGGGCTTCCGAAAATAGGGGAAATGTAGTACCCTAAACAGCAGGATCGTTAGTATAAGGACCCCAAAATGAGGTACCCCTTAATTTCGGAAACTCACATATGATGCCTAACGGACACCCTACATCCTAAAGCCTCTGCCTCAAACGTAGTCCCTATACAGATTTCTAAGCCGCAGCGCTGCTCTTCCAGTTTCGTCCTGCGCGCATGGCAGATTTCAAAAACGCAATATGAATTAGGCAATGCTTTAAAGTGTATATTATAAGGGCCGCTTCTTGTAAATGTTAGCGCGGCGTCAATGGGGTCTTTGGGGGAACTGGTCATCAAATCCCTAGCTCATATACGACGAGTAAGAGCACTCAGCCCGATAGTGATAGATGAGCGAACGGCGTCGCCTGGGGTAGCGGCAAACAGCAGGAACAACAGCAATCATCGCACTTTGGCGACAACGACGGAATGGTAACACAAACCACCGAAGAGCACCAGCAGTAACAGGAAGTACACAGCAGGAGTCTAAGTCCTAAGCTCTGCATATCCTGAGGTAGTTTTCCGGTGAGCCCTGTGAAAGAAGGAACTCCTGATTTTCGACCACTCAATTTCAAAAGACCTTGTGAGAATCACCTGGGTTACGATGTCCGAGAAGAGCATCCTTCCGTACGTCCTATCACTCTCAATCTCAGGCCTCTCTAGGCACGACCGAAATTCCTCAAAAAAACTTAAAGCCCCTCCGGCGCAGCAGCAACAGCGATAAGTACACAGAAGTAGGATCCTAAACCCTGCGTTTTGGGGCATGGGACTCCTTGATACCTGAACCTTCTGGAGCAGTGTCGGGACCCTAAACCCTGTAATGGTCTAGAGTTTATAGGGCTTAGGGGCATTAGGGGCATGATAGTAAACCCCTAAACCCTAAACCCTAAACTTTGAAAGCCTGAACCACGAATCCCGAAGTCCAGCTGAAGCGACCCCAGCGACGATCTGCGGCTCCGCCCCACGAGGTGAGAAGAGAAGGGCTGAGAGTTTTGAACTGACGGGATTCAAGGTTCAGGGTTCCTTCATAGTTAGGGGTTCATAACCCCAAACCCTAAACCCTAAACCCTAAACCCTAAACCTTGGGTTCATGGGCTCTGCAGGTCATGGATTTAGGTTTCGTGGGTTGGTGGTTCAGGACTCATGGGCTTCGGATACGGAATTAGGACCCCAAACGTTGTTCGTCTGGTGTTTACGGGCAAAAGGTCGAGGGCAGGGGTTTTATGGACCCTAAACCCTAAACCCTAAACTAAACCCTAAACCCTAAACCCCCCCCTAAACCCTAAACCCTCATGTCTTTCAGTGCTTAGGGCTTGGGGTTAGGACCCTTCGCCTTACAGTTCTTTGGACCCTCTTCTCCTGCCATCGAACCGAAATCTGGCCCTAAACCGTAAAACCCTAAACCCTAAACCCGGCCCTCTTCTCCTGCATTTTCGCTCTTGAACCATGCCACGATCTTCTTCTCGGGTAAGCCGGTCTGTCAGGGACGGGCCCAGAGACTCCAATACCCCTTCATTAAGGAATATACCTTAAATCATATCAGGGATCCTACTATACTTTAAGGTATATTCCTTAACTACGAGGTATTGGAGTCTCTGGGGGCTTGGGGGCCGAGCCCTGAAACGCAGAGCAGTAAGCTCCTCAAACCCCTAAACTGGAAACCCTAATAGACCGATCCTGAACCCCAAACCCTAAACTTAAGACAACCGTTTAGGGTGTAGGGTTTAGGGTTTAGGGTTCAGCCCGAAGTCCTTAAACCGAAAACCCCTAAACCCACAAAGCCTTCAGCGCTAAACCCAAAACCCTGACACCCCAAGAAGCCTCCAGGGGGCCTGGGTTCCGAAGCAATACAGGAAACGACGCCGTCAAACCCTGGCAGATTGTTTAGGGTTTAGGGTTTTAGGGTTTAGGGTTTAGGGTTTAGGGTTTAGGGTTTAGGGTGAAAAACCGAGAGCCTTATAGAACCTTGAGAAAGCCCGCTTGCGGAGCAGCGAGCAAAACCTCAACCCGCTTGAATAACTGCAATGTAGACCCTTTCGGTTTATGGTTTAACATAATTAGTACTATATAATAATATACCATGCTATAATATCACATGATCTAGGGCAGTAGCTTTCAGAACCTGACAAACCACAGAAAATCCATTCAAGGGTTACAATTTACGGCTAAAGATTTACATCCAATGCAACGACGCCAAAATCCATGACAAAAAACCTATCACGCCCCTTTGCCTGGATGTTGTTGACAGGGTGCGGACTGACGAGCATTTTATGATTCGTCAGGTGGCAGCCTTCGCGGATGATTCCATTTTCGGATTCTCAGGCGTTTGTTCGACGAGCGTCCTGCACGGCATCTGAGGGGTTAGGGGTGCAGGGTGCTTTCGGGATCCTGGGGCATCCTGAATCTTGTGGTTCAAGGAGTCTTTGGTGACTTCATTATGTGGCATCGAATGCCTCTGAATTCACAACACCGGAGGCCGCCTCCACATTTGCCACCACCCTCGAGCACCTCGTGTACGAGCGTAGTTCGTTTACGAAGGGTCCATTTTGTCAAGGGAATACATTCGTGGTGGCTTCGCGGAAGTCAGGTTCACGGCCACAGGAAACTTGGGGATGTAGACCCTCTCAATAAGGTCCCTTTTAAGAGAGCCAAAAGTAGGGTTCAGAAGTCTAGCCCGACAAGGGCGGCTAGACAAAGCTTGAAAAAGCTAGATATGTTGTGCTCATCTGCCGAAGATTTGTGGCTTTGAAAGATTGAAACGGTAGGTCCTGAAACAAAACGTGCTGGGCTTTCTGGCCTCAAGAATGGAAAAATTAAACCCTAAACCATGTGCCCCACCATGCAAATACTACACCAACCTAGATAGACAACGCTAGACAATGCTAGAAAATGCTGGATTCCGACCACTGCATGACGACGATGCCAGAAAATGCTAGACCATGCTGGATAATGCTAGACAATGCTGGATAATGCTAGATAATGCTAGACGATGCTAGACGATGCTCGATAATGCGAGAAAATGCTTGATTCCGGCCAGGTCCCGGAGGACCAGGGATGCTAGAAAATGCAAGATAATGCTAGACAGTGCTAGTCGAAAACTCTCTGACAATCATGTCCACAGCAGCGGAACGTGCAGTTCCCGAGTAGAAGGAACAGGTCAGCAGGTTGGTTTCTGAACGAAGGAAATATCTAGCATCTTGGTACGGCACCCTTATTGAAAAGGACCGTTAAAGGAACGTACCCATGAAGCATGCGCAGAAGAGCGAAACCCTCTTCCCCTTCCCCTTCTATATACTTTCGGATCTCTCAGCCGCTCAAGAACATCCTGCAAGCAAAACAAAACAATATGTTATAGCCTAGCAATTATTAGTATGGTGTTTTACAGGATGCTATAGTATACCGTAGTACAGTATCGTAGATCAAATACTGTCGTTTTCATGGGTGCAAGAGACGCGCAAGGAGTTGTGCGAAACTATGCTGTCTGGACATGACCTGATCTCCAGTATTGTGCCTTATGGTTCCTATTCTAGCTGCAGTACTCTCCCAAAACACTATTCTAAGTAGTAGTGATATTCAGCTTCAGGCCAGGCACAATCCGGCTGGCACCCGTGCACCACCATGGGAGATTGCGGGCGCGGCTCCGACGCGAACTGGCCGTGCGGAGATTGATTGAGCTTTATGCTTCTGCGGACCAGGGAGTAAAGAACACTCCAGGAAAAACGGCAGCTAGAATTATCATCATCATCATCATCATCACTGCAATAATGCACACGACGATGACAACAAACTTGAAAAGCTGTACATGGATTTTGGAGCCAGCTTGGGTGTACGCTACCTGCGTAAAGGTGGCGGTTTATTAAGCCAAGCATAGGCTTGCCCTCTGATGCAATGCGGCCCACAATCCGATACAACTTTTGCAGAACTCTTCGTTCTCCCTAAACCCGAAGCCCTGAAACCCTAATCGCATTTTCTCCGAAATCCTGAAACACAACGGACAAGCTAACCCATAACACCTCCACCATGAAACTCCAAAAACCTGAAACCCTCCCGCCCAGACGAACATTCTAAACCATGGAGCCCCAAGTTCTAAACCAGAACATCTGAGCCTACAGCCGTAAACCCTGAAACCGGTCAACCTACCTAACTTTCAATACCTCATAAATGCCTACTTGAACTGAACTTTGCAACGTAAATGCCCCCAGCTCCCCCCTCAAACGTCTAAACTCCAACTCTTGCCAGGTCTACCTGCTTTCGTCGATATTCTCCGCGCGCCAAGAGTGCGTAAGGCAAGAGACCTGCAATCGGGGACTAACGTAGGGGCCTTGATAGGGGCAATCTACCCTCAAAACAGTATTGGTCAGTATTTAGGCCCCGCATTTTTATGCGTTCTTGGGGGTTGTGGGTGTAGGGTTTCAGAGATCCCCGGGAGAGTGCAACACCGCAACGGCGTGTTGCATTGCCTCGTGCCTGCACCGGATATCATGCACCAGTGTTTGCAGCAGTTCCCAGAGAAAGTGCAACTTGTTGCATTGCCCCGTGCCTGCACCGGATATCATGCAAAAGTGTTTGCAGCCGTTCACGGAGAAAGTGCGGCTGTTTTTGGCACAAACAACGGTTGGTGCATTGCTTTCTGATGCGGTTCAGACCACCTGGGATCCGCTTCAAGATCCGGCATGCCAGCTCTGCGGCGCTAAGGACACTAAAGAGCGCAGACTCTTGCAGTGTCCCATGCAATACAGGCTGCTCGGCTCCTGCAACAGCACGGACCAAGGTCGCTGCCACCTTGTGCCCGTGATCTGCTGGACAGTACGGCTGATAACCTGTTCTTGCAACAACATTGTGGCTCAAGGTGAAGGCCCACGTTTCCCCCACAGATGCCACTAGAGCGGATGTTTTGCCTACACTGGGCAATATATTCGCTGATGGGGCTGCCAAGGCTGCCCTGAGCCGGTCGTGCAAAAGACCGACGGTGTCGCTGATTGGCGCCGACAAGAAGCCGAACGGTGTAGGAAAACCTGGCAAACGCCTCCTAAGGAGGCCAGCTCTGCCAAGAGAGCAGGAGACAGGCGAGATGTTGTGGAAAGTGCTTAGCAGCTCTTCCCCTGGCGAAGCCTTAGGGGACCTACTGGGGACCTTGCGCTCACAGCACTCTGATAGGCTTGGCAGACTCGCGCGGACGAGACGTGGGGTCGCTGTTCAAGGCTGGCCCACGTTCTCCCCTCATACCCTGGCAAAGGTTTAGGGTTTCAGGGGTTAGGGGAGAGGTTAAGTGTCTGGGCCACTGGGGTGTAACAATTAGTTAGCGTTTTAGGGCTCAGGGTTTGTCGTCTGAGGTTTGTGGGTTAGGGCGGTTAGAGATCGGGGGGTCAGTGGTGTCCACCATATGCGAGTTGACGCCCTCTGAATGGTCACTATACTATTTCCTAACCCCAAACCCCAACAGCACCCTACCTACAGTCTCCGTTGTAGTTATAGTTGGTGATAACCACTCAGATCTCACACGCACTGATAATACCGTTAAGTGATGACCAGCTTATGCCATGGCATGCAGCAAAGGATCCTTTTACCAGTCAGAGCACTTACAGCGACAGTCATCCATACATATGCACAAGGGGACAATACTTTACACGTGGTATATCTACAGTAGTTCCTCTTTGGGGTTTCCTTATAGGATCCTATATCTGAACATAGTGAAACCAACAACCGGAACTACAATGGAGACTACTCTGAACCCTAAGCCCTAAACCCTAAACCCCCAAAACCAACAACCGGAATTACAATGGAGACTACTCTGAAACCCCTGCGCTGCCTTGCACCTGGTCTTCCGGCTGCGACGGGAGAATGACACCTGCCCGGTGGCAGAGAAGCAGCGGTGCCTTACTGGCTAATGTAAGGGCCTTATACTTAGAATGGGTGTTGGGGTATATACGGATAGTTATTAGGATGATTCTGGTGTAGGGTCTTGAGTTCTGGGTTTAGGGCTTCGTGTGGGTCATTGGTGTCAGGGTCTAGGGTTTTACGATTTAAGGTTGAGTTTTTCGCTCCAGAGCTTCGGAGGTGGACCGTGGTGGCTTTGGGGACGGGCCCTAACTAAACCCCCAAGCCCTAAACCCCTAATCCCTACTCCCTAAACCCTAACCCCTAAACCCCTGAACCCTAAACCCCGAACCGCTACCTGTAACCTTCCTGAGAAGTTAGTCTCTTCGTGCTTTGTTTTTTCGTGAAATAACGCAGGCAGGAGCTGAGGTTGCAAAGTTGGGCGAGCCTGGATTTGTGAACACCACACATTGGTGGGGGGGCTCAGCTTTATGAGGGTTTGGGATTTAGGTTCCATGGTATATAGGGTTCGTAGGGCTCCCAGGGCTGAAATTTTTAATTTGTAGGGCTCCCAGGGCTGAATTTTTAATTTGTAGGGCTCCCAGGGCTAAAATTTTTAATGGAGCTTATCGGCTGTGGTGCCATGGGGAGCTGCATCCTCCAAATGGGCTGGATGTACCGGGAGCCCCCGAATGCCAGGCAAGAAACACTAGGAAACTTGTGCTCAAGGAGCTCTGCTGCCCGTACCGTACATCGCACGAGTCTAGAAGCTTTAATATTCCGCCGAGGCTTCCGAGGTGTCTAGATTGAATTCGTATCCACCAACCTCTCGACAAGGTTCTTGTTTTCCCTACCAACCCACCAAGATCGGCTAAGACCCTTCACAATGTCTGGGCTTACTATCGGACACCCCCTCCACAAAAATGACCCGCAGGTCGGGTCAGATGCTGCATTCTGATCGTTTACCGCTGACCTTTGGGTTCATGCTGGGTGTTTTTTCAGAGGTGGGGTTTAATCAGTCAGTTGCTTGGATGATCTGTTGCTGGGTTGGATGATTGGTACGTCGGCTGGTCACGGGATGTTGGTCGGTCGATTGGCTGTTGGCGGTGTTGCGGTGGCTGATGCTGTGGCTGCGGGTCGATGCTGTTGCTGTTGCTGTGGCTGTGGCTGTTGTCAGTCTTGGGGCACATGAAGGGACACTGCTTGCGATGGAGGATGGTTGGGGTGGATCGGAGCAGGGAGGTGGGGAGCGGGGGTAGTAGGGTGTGGGTGCCAATTGAATAGGGTGGGGGGGCGGAGGTATGGGTTATTGGGATGTTGTGTGTATGGGAGGCGTGGGGTGGAAAGGCGTAGTTAATTAATTTGCGTGCAGGGTGTTTTATGGCGAGGCGTGGCCGCCTGACCTGTCCTGCCCGGCACCTTGTATGGAGGGGCTCCAAGACAAATGGACCCCAGATCACAGCTGCTACAGCCCCGGTAGTGGCGTTTTTTTGGGGTTCCTTCTTCTAGCTGCTACCTAAGATCCTAAACCCTAAACCCCTAAACCCCTAAACCCTAAACCCCTGAACCCTGAACCCGAAACCCCTGAACCATCGACATGTCTTCGCTTTGCATGGCTTGCCTGGTTGCCCGGAGCCAGAAATCCATACCTTGCAAACATGGAGCACAACTGTCTCACGCGCCTCCTTCCTTTGCTCCCTTTACTGCAAACCTTGGAGGGTTTCGGCCTCAAATCCTTATTGAAAAAGCGACCGTGATGCAGTGCATAGGGTCTGAATGTGCGAATTCGGCACAAAGAACACCATGAACCCAGAACCCTGGGTTGTGCAAGAGAGGCTTCCGCAAAAGGACTTTACCTTTCACCACCTTCATCAAGACATTCCAAAATCTAGGGTTCATATAATGCATACCTTAACCTACCAAAACCTAGTGTTTTGTAGGGTCCCTATAAATTCCATATTAGGGTTTATAATAAAGACCTGAAAAACCTAGGTTTTGGTAGGTTAAGGTACCCAAGATACACCAGGTCTAGCCAGGGGGCTCTTGCACGTCCAGATCCACGGCACCCATCGTTTTGTAGTTCGCCTCGGACTCGATAAGTTCGAAACACAGCACTTCTACCACCGTACTTTACCGTCCTGCGACGCGCCGTTTCTCAAAACCAAAACCCTAAACCCCGAAACTCAAAATCCTACTGTCCTGTGACATGCCAGCAGCCAACCTGACATGCCATGTACAAAGGCCCCGGCTGAGCATCCGTAGGCCTGGATGCCCAAGTCGGGCTCTTGACCTCGCGTTCGGATTTAGGGTTTAGGGTTTCGAGTTTAGGGTTTAGGGCTTGGTGGCTAGGAATTTCAATCTTGGAATCTACATCGCACATGTCACCTGCCCAGTTTCGAAATAGCGAGGTTGCCACAGCATCCGTGCTAAACGAGACGCATGCGGCGGATCTTGAAGATGTCGATCGCTTTGTATTCAGCAGGTTCATGGTTAGTTCTACCTGTGTGTGTGTGTGTCTGTGTCAATGTCTCGTGTGTCTGAACTGAGGCTGCATGGACCGTGTAGCTGTTATGATATGCTACCCTACTCAGTATACTTGCAAAGTTCCGTGATGGAAACCCTCAGCCCTAAAGCCTAAACCCTAAGCCAAACCCTGAACGACGTGAACCAACGCATCCGAGCCGCTTTTCGCCACAGTCATGGCTGTGGGAAACTCATACACCTGCCGGGCTGTGAGGTTATGGCCTTCGGGTGTCTCCTCTACGGGTTCCTACCCCAAATAATTCGGAGTCAGCAAGATTTATAAGGGTTTAGGGTTTAGGGTTCCTACCCATATAATTCAGAGTCATCATTCCGATATTTTAAATAATTGCGGCGGTTTGGGTTCAAGGTTTGAAAAGACTAGACCACGAGGCAGGTGTTATCTGTATGATTTGGGTCGTGGGCTTAGGGTGGTCGTGAACGGACTTGCATGGGCCAGAAGCTCTTTGGCGCCTCCAGCTTGTGCCACGAAAATTCGCAGAAGCCTGCGTCAGGGGTGCTCACTCTTAGAGTTTAAGGCTAAGGATCTCATTCGCAGAGTTCAAGGCTTTGGATCTAGGGTGTGGTTTCACAATTTGTTTGGGGGCTCACGATCAGGCTTAAGGAGGAATCTCTCATGAAGGAACCGACGACTGTCGCGAGTTATCTGAGCTTCCAGCAATGGGAGGAGAAGACAGGCAGCAAACCACGGAATCTCATCGAGATAGAGTGAGCAGCAGCTGAAACGCGAAGTCCCTAAACCCATAAACCCATAAACTCATAAACCCTAAACCCATAAAACCTGCCTAAACCCATAAACCCTAAACCCGTAAACCCTAAACGCCCAAACCCCAAAAAAGCACACAGTCGGGCCCAGAGCTCTGGGTTTTGTTGGCTTCTGGGGGTGTTTCGGACTTTGGGCTCAAGGATGATGTAGGGGCCTTAGTTAGCGGTTTTCAATGGGGTATTACCACATAACTATAATCAGGAACCCCAAGGAAAAATATTGGTAGTTATAAGCCTTTTGGCTTCAAAATTACCTATAGTCTCCATTGTAGTCCCTTGTTGGTGATACCTTATAAACTCGTTAATAGAAAAATATATATGTATGTATGTATGTATGTATGTATGTATGTATGTATGTATGTATGTATGTATAGATAGATAGATAGATAGATAGATAGATAGATATATATATATATATATGGTTCAACCAAAAGAAGGAACTGCAATGGAGACTATAGGTATAGCGCCTTTGGGATTCCGGGCCTGCTGCGGCCGAGCCCGCAAGCCACAGGAACTGGGCGCCCCTGCAGACGGCGGGAATCGCCGCCTGGGCGAGCGCAGGTTGAGTTAGGGTTTAGGGGTTTAGGGGTTTAGGGGTTTAGGGGTTTAGGGGTTTAGGGGTTTAGGGGTTTAGGGTTTAGGGGTTTAGGTTGGGGGTTTAGGGCCGGGCCTAGGGGTTTAGGAGTGAGGGCTTTGCTTGAAAGCCTGAGGCACTGCAGACCTTGACCCCCTAAACTCCCAATTGCCATAGACGAAGCCCCAAACCCTGAACCCAACCACCTGCAAAGGCCTCATCCCTCAAACCCTCCTGAAGCTGCGCCCTCCCCTAAACCCTAAACCCTATAAACCCTAAACCCTAAACCTTACACCCTAAACCCTCCTCTTCCGTGATAAAATCCCAAAGCCAAGGCACAGTAGCGCCATGTTTGCCCAAAGACGCATGGCGCATCTTGGAGGTTTTCCGAGAGGTTTGGGGCTTGGGCCATGTAGGGGTCCTGAGAATTAACATAAGGTTTTGAGCTCCTTTATAGTATAGCTACAATAAGGAATTTCAGGAATAACATTGGTAATTTTTTGGGCTGCTGTAGTACTGGCTTCATGCGGTCCAAGATTGGGGGCGGGGGTGGCGAGATTTGAGGTTCATATTGTCCTCCAAGAGAAATCGAGCACAGGAGGATGCAGTCTAATCGCTTCCACCATTTAAAAGACACCCCCTATTAACGAGCATACTTTGGGGCCAATCCTCCCGAAATCATCCCTGCCCTTTAAAGCCTTGTTTGCACTAGGTAGGTCCGGAGCAAGAGCAGGAGGAGCAGCAAGAGCAGGAGCAAGACCAGGAGTAAGAGCAAGAGCACAAGCAAGAGTAGGAGTAAGAGCAAGAGCAACAGCAACAGCAAAAGCAAGCGCAGGAGCGAGAGCGCAGCAGGAGCAGGAGCAAAGGCCAGTATGACAGCAAGAGGAGCCAGACCCCTCAAAAGTGACAGTAGAGATAAACCTATCCCGAATACTACGAACACTTTCCAAGTTTTTGTTGGAGGAGCGGGGCCGCGCCTCCCCGTTCAATATTAGCGCGCGGGATTACTTCGGGCTGAGCAGGGAAGCTAACCAGAGTCAAACGCAATCTCCAAGGAAATGTAGGAGGGATCAAGGTTTAGGACTTAGGGTTTAGGGTTTAGGTTTAGGGTTTGGGGTTTAGGGTTTGGAGCGGTCTGCTTCTCATTCTAAGAATCTGGGCTGGGCTCATGGTACGGAAAAAGAGATACACCCGCTGACGAAGTTCTGAAGCATTTATATGCCGCTTGCATGGCATGTACATGGGTAGTTCTCTGGGTCCCTGTTTAGGTCCCCAATATAGTACAGCACCCTTATAAAAAGGACCCCAAAAGGGACCCTAATTTTGACAACTACCCACATGTTCCGGAAGGCCCAGGCACGGTAAGGACGTGGATGTGGTCGCAAAAAAGTCGACACTCAATCTTCTTCGCGTGACTGCTCGCCCAAACATCTGAGAGCACATGCCAGACTTGAACTCTTCGTCCTACGACTCAACGCTGGGCTGCACCGCTCTGTATGTTGGTTTAGGCAATCGTGCGGATTTGAGTATATAAGCTATGATCAGGAACCCCCCGGCCAAACAAATATGGGTAATTATGATCAGGATGCTTAGCATTTTACAAAGTGAGCCAGCTTTGGAATGAAGTGCGCGTCAAGCTGCGGCCACCCTTCAAGGTGCCAAGCGAGGTCAGATCGATTCCAAAGCCTGCGGCGCCGAGGATTTAGGATGCACAGCTTTCTCGCTTAAGTGGTGGTTTTAAAAGTTTAGGTCGGTTGGATTTAGGATTTAGGTTTCAGAGCTAAGGGTTCGAGGGTTTAGAAGTGGGGCTGCAAGGTTCTTGGGTTTGGTTTTGGGCTAAGGGGTATTAACGCTGATACCGAGCCTGTCACGCCGACCCAGTAGTGGCAGGTGGTGGTGGTCGTTGTGGTACTGGTCGTCGTCGTGCTCGTGGACGTCGTGGTCGTGGTCCTCGAAGGGATGGGATTGACTGGGTCTCCAGAATTTTAGGGTTTAGGGCTTGCGGTTGACTAGGGTCTACAAACCTATAACGGGTTCAGCTCGATATACAATTCATCCCATATCAGCCAGTCCTCTGTGACATACACCTGAAGAAGAAAACCTGGTGTATGAACCCCCATGCAAAGCCCACGCAGAAAGCCTCTTAAGCCTCCGTCCTTGCAGATTCAACTGTGTAAGACCCAGTCAGTAGAAATGATACTATGCGAGCATGAAGCCGTCAAGGCACTGCTTCGGACTTACAGAACAACACCGCGTAAAAGGGATATTCCTATAGGATCCGTAAGGGAGGGTGGCTCAAGGGGGGAGGGTCCTAGGGAGCCTTAGGGAACCTAAGGGAGTACTAGGGAGTATTGGGGATTACTGGGTTATATACCCCCCTTAAAACCCCCTCCCTTAAGGATTCCATAATATTCCGGAAAGTCCTAAACCCTAAACCTTAAACCCTAAACCCACCCCGGGGGCGGCGGTGCCTGCGGCGGGAGCGCCTGCGGCGGGAGCGCCTCCGGCGGGAGTTTTTCCTTCTTCTCCGCCTGCGCCTCCTCCGCCTGCGCCTCCTCGACGCTGTAGACTGATCCTCCTGTTCTTCCTCGCTGAGGGCAGTCATATTCGCGGCCTCCGTCTTCGTCGTTGGCTCGTCCCGCCCCTCCAATTCTGCGACGTCATCGTTGTCCTCATCCTCCATGTCTTCCTCCTCCTCCTCCTCGTAAGCTTCCTCGCCATCGTATGCCTCCTCCTCGTCGAGCATATCTGGCTCGTCGCTCAACTTCACCCGAGAGGCCTTGGAAAGCAGAGCTCGCTGAGTTCGTTCTTCCACCTCTGCCGTTTCATTGTCCTCCGCGTCCTCAGAGTCTTCCGCTTCCTCCTCCTCTTCCTCCTCGGAATCCTGCTCTTCCTCTTCCTCCTCTACCTGTTCCTCAAGAGAGGCATGCTCAGCACCTGCTTCGGCCTCTTCTGCCTGTGCTTGCACCACCCTGGCTCCCTCTTCAGTCTCCATTTGGAAGGCCGCCAAGTTCTCTGCCGTGTCCTCCACATCCTCCTCCATCTCAAAGTCCTCTTCAGTGGCGTTTGCCTTACATTCGGAAGCCACAGCTGCAACACATCGATCCGGCATATGATTTGGGTGATGCCTTGCACCATTCCTGGTCAAGTCACACCTAAAACCTAATTACGAAGCTTACCAAATTGACCAAGCGTCAGAGATGTTGGCGGCGTCTTGAAGCAGGGAGTACTTGCATTTCTAAGCTGCGGCAACATGCAGTGCAAGGAAATTACATATCTTACAGTGCCGAACCCTAAAACTTCCGAGAGTTAACCCGAAACTCTGCACCCTAAACTTCAAACCTCTGTCAATCCTAGACCTCCAACCCCCGAACCTGCACAAGTGATTTGGGGGGCCCAAGCAGCCGCACGTGTCCCCAAATGGCCAATGTGTGCCGTCGTGATCCACTTCGACCTTCAAGAGAGAGAGATAGAGAGAGAGAGAGAGAGAGAGCGACAGTCTGTCTCTATGTATATCTGTATATGTATAAAAACATGTATGCATGTATGTGTGTGCGTCTATGTAAATATGGAAATAAATATTAATACATACATGCATATATATATATATATATACACACACATACATGTGTGTGTGTGTGCACGTAGGTCTGCCTGCCTGTCTGTCTTTCTGCCCGTCCTTCCGTCCGTCGGTCTGTCTCTGTATGTGTGCATGCCCAAGTTTATATGCAGTGTATGTGGCACAAGTAAGAACATACCAGTTCATGCCCTATATACCAAACCGTAATGTTACCATGTACTACAAGTCCGACTATGCACCATAAACCGTACAGCAAAAAATTGGATGTGTGTGTATATTACATTGGTATATATCTATATATATATATGTATATATATATATGTATATATATATATATGTACACACACACATATGTATATATATATATATATGGTTTGTGAGCGGCATGATATGGATATTATAACCGTGTAGACGAGGCAACCTCACAGTCAATATGAAACTGTAGCAGATCATACCAGAGAAAGTGCTTAGGATAAACGACAGAATACCGGCAACAGTAAAATCAAGGGTCACGCGTTCATCACAACAACGGTACTGACAGCATTCATCGTAGCAACACAATGACACCAGCAATACCCAGCGCAAAGATCACCATTCCAGGCGTGATCATGCAAATGTTAACTATTGTGATGCTGATCTAAACTCTAAACCCTAAGCCCTAAGCCGTAAGCCAAACAATCAACTGCACAAACATGCATGTGTCAAAGCGGCAGCGAGCAGAGGGAGCCGAAATCGGCTTCCGGGCACTTTGGTGGACTGTTGGCCGATCTGCTCTTAGGGGCTAGAGCTCCAGGCTGAGATCCGCGCTTTGGCTCCGGGGGTGCCGCGACGGATTTCCTATAGATCTCGAGCTCGAGAAGGTGGATGTGGGCCTTGCCAACTCGAAAAATTCCGAAAGCCTTGCAAGGACTTATTATATACTATACTTCCTGATCTGGGACCCTAAGAAGCGTGCACAGGCCACGGGCAATGCATGTAAGAAACCATAGCCGATGCCCCACGTCTTAGGGCTGCTGTCAGTGCCGAGGCTAAAGTGTTGCCACGCCCCCTCCGACATCCCAAACTCGAGTTTGATAAGTTGACAAGTAAATTTAGCTTCGCCCAACGAATCGACGAAAGGTGGTAGAGCAATAGGACAGCACTGGTAAATGCCGAGTGAAACGATGTGCTGGTAAGACGTGTAGAGACGTGTAGAGATGTGTAGAGATGTGTAGAGCTAGCGTGGTTGGTAGGCGGGTGCCTACTACGACGACGACTACTACTCCTGCTCCTACTCCTACTCACAGTTGTTGCCACAAGGTGGACAAGTAGAAGGAAACAGCTCAGCAGCAGCAGGATGCAAGTTGCAGACCCTTGCTCTGGAACTCACCCCAAACCCTCAGCCACAAACCCTGAACCCCTAAACCGTAAATCCTAAACCCTAAAACGTCGACCCGTCCTCCCGAAAACCCCAAGACCTCATGCTCGAATCTGGAAGGGCCAAGGTGCATCCTGGTTGTTCTTGCCCAGGTACACGCGAACATAACGTGCCTGATCTGGAGCACCCGAACCCCCCCTCCTGCCTTTAGGGTTTAGGATTTTGGGTGCTGCATTATACTAAAATACGCAAGAGGAACCTTAAGGACGAGTATCGGTAGTTGCTGGGGCTTCTATGATGCTCGCTCGTGTATGTGTGGGGTCTTACTCCGGATGATGGTAGATTCTAGGCTTGGGCATATGACTCGACAGGATCCAAGGCTTAGCGTACCTTTCAGTACAGTGGCATCACGAGTTGGAAACACCCCCCGCGCGACTGGACCTCTCTTCGGGACACAATGCGAACCCAGGCACCTCGCCCTTGAAGCTGGGGGTTTAGGATCTAGGGTTTGGGGCTTAGGGTTTAGGGCGTTTAGGGTTTAGGATTTAGGGTTTGGGGCTTGGGGCTTAGGGTTGAGGGTTTGGGGTTTGGGGCTTGGGGCTTAGGGTTGGGGGTTTGGGGCTTCGGGTAAAACTTGCTACGTTCCTTCCGTTTTATCCGCTCAGACGCAAAAGCCTGAACGAGAATTCTTTGGAGTGCTGGGCCCGGCGGCCTTATCCGCCGACCCCTGGGGGCGGCGCCGGGTTTAGGGTTTAGGGTTTAGGGTTCAGTGAATTCTGGAGAGGTTTTTACGTGTTTACAGAGTATTTAGAGGCTTCCAATGCGTGCCCACAGTTTCCCCGCGCCCTCGGCTGCATTTTCAACGCTTCAGAGACACAGAGTCTAAACAGGCTTCCGGAAGCTCCAGTGAGCCGGGACTCTGCAGTAAGAAGCCCTTGCAATGCAACACTGAGGCAAAGCAAGGCACCGTCTGAAGCCCGATGTTGAATCCGGTACCTCGGCTGCTTGTAGAGGCTCTTGGAAGCGGGATTTTCAGGTTTGGGGTTGAAGTTTAGGGGCATCTCCACGTTCGCCTTCAAAAGACGGCCATAAATCCCGAAACCAACTTACCATTGAAAATACGAGCTCGAGCCAAGAGCAGAACCCCAACAGCAATCGACTCATCTGCTACGCTTAGTCAAGAACAACGGGACACTACGTCTGTGAACACTATGACTACCCTAAGACCTTAAAAAACTGGAGCCCTAAACCCTAAGACTTCCCGGGTACCATGTCCCCATTCTCGATTTCGCCACCCCGCACTCCAGTAAGGCCACTTCCTGCGGTCGGCCACCGGCAGGATAGGGGGCTGCTCACTATTGGGGGGGGGGGGGGCTTTCTTAGAAAGGAGGACCCTACTCGGGTTTATGGCGTTTAGGACATCTTCTTTGCAAAGGCAGGAGCGCTTGGAATACGGATCCTACTAGTTAAGGTGCTATACTTTTTTAGGCTCCCCCAGACCAGACGCGTGAGGGCAGTCTTTAGCTCAAAATTTCAGTCACACAATGGCTAAGACCTATCGCATCGCTTCTTGATACGGATGTTGCTGTGGGCTCAGTACCGTCGGGTTATAGATTTGGATCCTTACGCGTGCTCTTCGAAACGAATACGTCACCCAGCTGCGGTCAAACATACCTTGTAGATGAAGGAGTTTGCTTGACATCCGCGATTAGTGAACCACACTGGGTTGATAAGGGACAGATGAGGCGACCCAAACGTTGGGGCCTTCATAGGATCAGCGGGCCATGTTCTGGCTAAGACTAGCAAGTGCCACGTTGCAGCCAAAAGGCGTCCCTTCCCCATGGTACGCTAGAACACCACACGTTCAGTCCCTTGCAGTATATGCGGCCTTACTCAGGACACTAAGCTGGAACACATGAACCAAAACAGGCTGATCTTCGGGGCTGCACCAAGCATGATAGTAGTCATAAAACTACAAGGACACTGAAGATGTAAGTTTTTTGGAGGATGCCTTTGACGGTCAGACCCTGAAAGCGACTTCACACTGGTCAGTCCAGGTGATCTTATCCTTGGTGACGCCAATAGAAGTGCCTGGGCTTGCAGCATTCAGCTAGGCTCGCAATGATAGGCAGCGTGCTGCGGACTATGGGGGTGTGGAATACGTAGTAATGATGTTCCCCTGTAGTACCTGTTTGACAATACAAGAATAGACCTCAACACCCTATTCTCACTCTTATGGGACGGTTTAAGACTCGAGGGCATGCTCGCTTCCGCGCACGTTCAGTCGCCAAGAGCATCAAGGGCTCAGGGTTTAGGATATGTTGTTGTGGCTCAGATCCAGCAACCTTCAACAAAGCCGTCGACTTTATTGAATTCATTGGGGTTGCTGTTGTCACAATCTTCGCTCTCCAGCAGCGACAAGATTGAATGAGGCGGACAGTCTGCTCTGCAGTTGGCACCAGCACCCCCTGAGCCATCCTAGCCAAAGCCTTGCGAGGCCCGCTTGCGTGCCGGGAGGCCGCAGTATTTACGCCCGTTGGCATAGCCTCGGTGCACTCCGTGACTGCAGACTTGAACTGGAAACAACTATAACCGCAACAGTTAGCCCCCTAAAACCCCCAGCCCTAAATTACTTAACTCCGGAAACGTCTCCATCGTCGTGCCCGGGCACCGAAGAGCACCACCCGATCGAACTGTGTGTCAACTCCCAAGTCCACCTGGCAATGATGAGGGGATGCTATGCAAGGTGTAAATACCGAACCATTATGTACTGAAAGTGTATACCTAGATAATTACCTATGTCTCTCTCTCTCTCTCTATATATACATGCACACATACATACATACATACATACATACATACATACATACCATACCATACCATACCATACCATAACATAACATAACAT